GGCAGACCCGGGGCTCGTTACTGCAGATTTGGGCGCGGTGGCTCCGCGTCGGATGGAAACGCAAAACAAAATGATTTGCTCGCTTTCCACTTGGGTTGAGGCCAACGTCTGTGCGTGTGCAAGTGTGTGCGTGTGTGTGTGTGTGTGTTTGAATGGGAGAGCCAGGCGCGGCGGGCCCGACTGCGCTCGAAATACGCGTCTGCCTTTCGATCGAGCGCGCGGCAAAGGCAAAGGCTGGACCGGCAGCGCGGCGCGGCGAGCCCCACGACATGGAGGCCATGGAGGCCAGGCCGCGGCAACAGCCTTGGAGGCGGGCAGGCCCGCAGCGCGCGGCCGAGCGGCGGGCCGGCCTGCCCCGTGGGCTGCAGGGGCCGCAGGGGCGGGGTGCGGAACGGACCGGAACGGACTGCATCGCTGGATTAGCAGCCTGCACCGAGCCACTCCAAGCCCAGTGCGTCTAGTCGGCCATTATAATCCCTGCGCCGGCGGGCACCTAGCGGGAGGGGGAGGCGGAGGGGGAGGCGGAGGGGAGCGGAGGGGAGGGGGAGGGGGAGGGGAGGGGAGGCGGAGGCGGAGGGGAGGGGGAGGGGAGGGGGAGGGGAGGGGAGGGAGGGGGAGGGGGAGGGGAGGGGAGGGGAGGCGGAGGGGGAGGGGAGGGGGAGGCGGAGGGGAGGGCGAGCGAGAGGGAGAGGAGACAGACAAGCTGGCTAGACGCGCGGGAGATCCTGATCTAAAATAGTACTCGGGCGTGGTTAGCACAGGCCGAAGGCTTTTGGCAGCCTTTTGGCAGCCGGTGGAAAGTGCGCCCTCCTCCCACCTCGCGCACGCACGCACGCACAGAGACACCGGAGACACCCAAGACTTGCGCACGCGCGCACCTCGCCCGGCGCCGGCCGGCATGCTCTTTGAACGTTCCCGGCGGTCCCGCGGGTGCAGCAAGTCAAGAAGTGCACGGACACTGTACACGGCCAAGGCAGCAGAGCAGAGGCTGCCCAATGGGACCAATGCTTGGACCAATGGGACGCGCGGCTGGTTCGACGACCCGGCCCCGCCAGCCCCAACAGCCCCGCCAGCCGCGGCCACGCGGACTCGCATTGTACACCTGCTGGCCGCCGCTGGCACTGACGGGGCGGGGCGGACACACACACACACACACACACACACACACACACACACACACACACACACACACACACACACACACACACACACACACACACACACACACACACACACACACACACACACACACACACACACACACACACACACACACACGCAGCGGCGCACTACTGACGCAGGTGCAGGGCGTGGAACATCCGACTGGCAGATGGACTTTGTTTGTGTGTATAAAAATACTCAAACAAAGGTACCTACAGCGCCGCTCATCAAATTGCGATTTACGCGACCGGGAATCAAAGCGGGCAGTGCAGAGTCTCGTTTTGATTTTCATTTTCAACCGAAGTCTGTCACTTAAAAAATCCCGACGTCGGACACATTTTTTATTAAACCCTGTAACGGCCAATGTGACCATATGGTTACAACTCGTGTTTTCGTCGTCAATGGTGTCAGGGTGGGCTGATATGTGAAAAAACACGTACTTGTATTTTTACAAAAATGGCCGGTCTCGGGACGGCCAAGGTGACCATATGGTCACAGTCGATTAAAACTGCTATTGCGGGCAATGCAATTCAAGTTTTGACTTCCGAAGTGTTCCTACGGCTTCTTCTTGTTCTGTTCTATCATTCTCCCAACAATTTTTTTTTCCGAAACCAGAGGTATCCCCTACAATGCAATGCAAAGTTTTTATGGACCGCACCGGGGACTACCAACGTAACCATATGGTTACAATTCTAACTTCGTTGTTAGTTATCCGATTCTGGAATGGAAGGGCATTTTGCTTTGTCAAGGACCTCAATAAGAAGAAAAACACTCTAAACAGTAGTTTAAGTCGGTGGGGAGTAGTCTGGCCGTTACAGGGTTATGACGCCTAACAGCGCTGATGATGGACGAATGCTTTCATTCAATATTTTCGATAAGCCTGTTAAAGGTGTCTTTAAAAGCGACTGTTTTTCCAGAAATGCAGGCACACATGTAGTTGAGGGAGTTTTGGCAGAGGCGGTGAACAATGTAGAAAAAATCCACGGGAGAAGGTACAGGCACAGTCTGGTAGACAATTTGCCTGGTACCACCGTACCTCAACCAGTACGGCTTTTGGGGTGCGGAGTACGGTTTTTCATAACATGGGCTCTTATAGGAAGCACGGTTTTTGGGAACAGTTGTTCTGTACACCGTGAGGTACGGTCTAGCCGTACCTTTTTCCTTGAAATGTACGGCTTTTTTTACAGTGAGCCCCATCGAGACAGCATCGGGACGCACAAGCCGCTCCCAAAAGAATTAACGGCCGCGGCATTCATTAATCCATACGTTGCGCAGTCTCTTTTTTGTTTTTGTTTTTTAATTTTTGTTTTTCTGTTTACCGGGGGAATGTCCCCGCACACTCGCTCACACTCGAACAATCGCACAGGCGGACGCAGAATGATTATATGCACCCGAGAGGCCGTGTCTGCCGAGATCCCCCCCCCCTTCCCGTTCGCACCTGCTGCGAGGCGTTCCTTCCTCGGTTGCGGTCGCTCCCCTGAAAACAATAACAGGGTGGCGGGGCGGGTGGCGGGGCGGGGCGGGGTGGCCGGGCGGGGCGGGGCCCGCGGCGGGGGCCTGGGGCTGGCTGCCCCGCGGGGGCTCGTCCCGCGGCCCGCCACCCCGCCAGCGGGTCGGTCACACACCGTCGACCCTATAGCCGCCCTGCCGCTGGTCCTGTCTGGCCCTGTCTGCTGGTTTCTCAGGAAGACTAATAAAGCAGCGCCTTGCCAAAAGTCGGGGCGCGTTCGCCGACCCCCGGCCAGCCCGGCCAGCCCGGCCAAGGCGCCTCTTTGCGCGTCGTCTTCCCTTCCGGTGTCGTGCCGCGCCGCCGCGCCTCGCCAGAGGTTTGTACCTCTGTCTCTCTCGCACCCTTCCGGAGAGCTCTATGAGTGCGACAGAGACAGGGCGACGGAACGGCTCTTAGGCTGCCAGCGAGACGGCGTGGAGGAGCTTGACCGGCGACTGATCGGGCGGCTCGCTTCGGACACTGATCCCTGTGCCGCGAGGCGCGACGCGACGCCAGAGCCTCCCTGTCAACGATCTGTCTCATTGTTTTGCTTGTTTTCGGCAGTCCGCGGTCGGGGCGGGGCGTGGCGGGGCGGGGCGGGGCGGGGCGGGGCGGGGCGAGGCGGGGTGGCTCTGCCGTCCGGTGGAACGAAAGGCGCGAAAAAGTGATGAGGAGCGGGACGAATTGGCGTCAAAGTCAAACTGGGGAAAACCGCCCGCAAAACGTCAGCCCCAAACCAGAGAGGTCCGTAAACAAATTTATGAAGATAAACAATTTTGTAGACGGACTTCCTTACCGTGAAAAGAAAGTTGGCGTACAGGGTAAAAACGAGAGAAGTGGAGTGAAGCTGGGTTCTAGACGCCACAGGGATTGAACCGCAGTGAGCGGGTCATTCAAAAAATGTCGAGAAGTAAAAGGATTTGGTCCACCGACCTCAGTATCAGGTACCAACGGCTCTACCACCTGGACAACCACGATACATGATAGAGGACGGGTGATGTCACGCCTTTAAACCGCACTGGGAGAGGCAGTGAAAGTAAATAAATGCTGGGAGTTGAACCCCGGACTTGGCCTCCTTCTGCGGTCACCTGTCCCTTGGGATAGACAACAGCCGGAAAAAAAATGAAGATGTTGGGAGTCGATCGCCGGATCGGTGTCGGCTACCGACGCCTCTGCCACCTGAACCACCACAGCACATGATTAAGACCAGATGAGGTCACGCCTTTGAACCGCACTAGGAGAAGCAGTAAAAATGCACAAAGCTGATGCGCGGCATACCACTATAGAGTACACTTCTTTGGCCGAGGTAACAGAGGCGTCGGTACCCGACTGTCCTGGAACCGGGTCCTCCGTACCATGGAGCCTTTCGGTTCTGGTTTTCCCAGAACGCCCTTTTACCGTGTAAAGAGCAAGGCAGGAGTTCAAATATTCATCCCTATTTGTTGTTGTTTGCTCTATCAAAAACCGTGACCACTGATTACCTGATCTACTTCAGATTGGATGTGACACAGTGGCCTCTCCCCTGATCAACAAAGGGATCAAAATTGGTCAATAGGGTCAAAAATGCCCCCTGGCCGTGGCTGTCAAGCGAGCTGTCAAATCACGAAAAGTGCTCCCGAACCGGTGGCCGATACTGCAGCTACACTAGAAAGGGCTCCTGGTTTTCCCAGGAAGAAAGAAAGAAATAGGCGATTTCCAGGGAGTTCCAGGGAAACGCAGGAACCACTTTTACCGTGTAACAAGCACACCGTGCAAAACCTTGAGGCACAAAGCAAGGAAATTAAAAAAAAAAAAGCGCATGCCCATTTGTACGTGCGCCCCATCGTACCCCATGCCGCACAAAACGAAACTCGTAACAAGGCAATCCGATTGCGTCGAACAAGTGGCACTGTAATTGCACAGAACGCCCTCTCGCGCGCACCCCGAAAATAATACCATCACAAACACACTCCCCCTGGCCGAGCCCCTCCGCCCCTCAATCGAGATCGTTGTTTTGCTTTTCATTTTTCTTTCTGAAGCGTACTTTTCGGCCGTCCCTTCTTCTCGCCGGTCCTCCTCCTCACCGTCCTCCTCCTGTTCCTCCTTCTGTTCCCTCCCGCCCCGAGCCGCGCAGCGCCGCGCCCCTCGCAAGCAGCTATAGCCCCCGCGGCCAGGATAGACTGTGCGGCGCGGGGCCCGCGGCCGCGGTAGGGGCGGTAGGGGCGCCCCTCCCTCCAGCGCGGGGGGCAGGGGGCAGGCCGGGCTGGGAGGGGGCGGGGAGGGGGAGGGGGCAGGCGTCGAGACGGCCGGACGTCGACATCGGCTAGACAGCGGCGCCGGCAACAACAACCCGAGAGCAGAAAAAGGAGCGAGTGGAGGGGGGAGCCAGTAGTACTGTTGTGAGAAGAGAAGGAGGTGGAGGTGTAGCTTGAGCAGCGCGAGGTGCACCCGAGCCGACGCTTCAGCCCTCATCGCGCTGCAGGACCCAGCTTCAGTCTTCTCCGGACCACACCACCAGCCACACGGGAGCTTCTAGAGGGGCTTCGCCTGCTTCGTACTTCAGGAGTAGATCCGCAACCCCAACACATCAACAGCCATGGTGAGCAGCGGCAACGGCGTGGCACGGCGTCGCACAGCGCGACCCTCTCCAGTAAAGAAGGGCTCAGGGCAAGGCCACCTGGGTGGGAGGAGAGGGGGCGCATCTGGTGAAAGTGAAAGTAAATGCGACGAAGAATAACTTGAGACGTAAAATGTTTTCGATGACCATTTGTGAGAATAATTTGTATGCGGTGCACAGTGAACAGCAGTGACACGGATGGATAACCATTGTGGAGAAAGTGATGACAGGGCGGATGAATCCATGCATTGAATGAATTCAAATTGACTTGGATGAGTGAATACTATGGGTACTTCCTTCTCGCCTTTAGTTCCGTCCCCTCGCCTAGTTTGTCTGCTCGAGACACTCCTCCAACCTTGGTGCACCTCTAGCCCGCAGCTTTGTTTAGGAACCGTGTACGGGTCAGCAATGAAGATGGCCTCTTGCCTGGTGATTGTTTTTCGATTTTTGTTTTATAACCGTCCCGCGGCGCCCGCGGCTTCCCCGTGCGTGCTTCCACCTAGCGACGGCCACTGCAGACGACTGTCGCGTAAAAGCAACGCACTCGAACAATCAACAAGGGGTCCGCAGTGCACGCCGTCGGCGTGGCGGTCTTGTCACCCCACGCAGCCCGACGCAGCCCTAGTGCAGGTCTATGGTGCAGGCAGGCGCAGTGCGGGCCGCAGCCCGGCGCACGCACACAGGGCCGCTGTGCACACCTGGGGCTTCCCTGGGCTGGGCTCGGCTGGGCTCCCCACCTGCAGGCCTGCAGACTGAAATACGGCCCGCCCCATCGGGAATGGACAGTGCAGGCACGGTGCAGGCACGGTGCAGGCACGGTGCAGGCACGGTGCAGGTGTAAGCGGCGAAGTGTACCCCCCGGCCCAGGGAACCCTCGGGTACAACTCGCCTAGGACTAAGGTACCCGGGGGTACACAACGCCTAGGCTCAATGTACCCCGGGTACCTCAGGCCTGGGGGGTACACTGAGCCTAGGCGAGTTGTACCCCGGGTACAAAAAGCCTAGGCGAGTTGTACCCGGGGTACAAAAAGCCTAGGTGAATTGTATCCTCCCTCATCCGAGGGGAGGATACAACTAGCCTAGGCGAATTGTACCCCGGGGTACAAAAAGCCTAGGCGAATTGTATCCTCTCTCGCCGAGGGAGGATGCAACAAGACGAGGGGATTTATATTCTTCCCCGGCAGGATTGTGATGCGTCAATGGTTGGTTTTTAATTGAACCTAAGGAAGACTTCTAAAACTGAATTGTCCTACCAATCCTAACCAAACCTAACGGGCTCGTGACAGATCTTACTCTACTCGCGACAGATCTGATTCTCAAAAGAAATCGTACAACCTTTCCTAACCAAACCTAACGGGCTCCCCTTGGATGAAGGAGGATACAATTTTGCCTAGGCTTTTTGTACCCCGGGGTACAATTCGCCTAGGCTAGTTGTATCCTCCCCTCGGATGAGGGAGGATACAATTCACCTAGGCTTTTTGTACCCGGGGTACAACTCGCCTAGGCTTTTTGTACCCGGGGTACAACTCGCCTAGGCTCAGTGTACCCCCCAGACCTGAGGTACCCGGGGTACATTGAGCCTAGGCGTTGTGTACCCCCGGGTACCTTGGTCCTAGGCGAGATGTACCCGAGGGTTCCCTGGGCCGGGGGGTACACTTGTCCGCCGACACAGGCACGGTGCAGGCACACAGGCCGGCCTTGTTCATTGCTCTCTCGTTCTAATTGCCGACACTGACCCCAGACAACGCGACGCGATGCGACGCCGGGCCTTTGTTGTTCTTGTCGTTTTTGTTGGTGGCCACACTGTGTGCCACACTGGCCTGCCGCCAAAAGGGCGTGTGCGGAGAGGGAGGAAGCTGCAGAGCATTGTGGACGCCACGCACGCCACACGCCAGGCAACGCCAGGCAACGCCATTTAGTGCTTCCTGTGCTGGTGCTTCGCCGTTTCACGGAAATTACGGCAGCCGTCAGGGATCCCCGGGAAGTGACTGGTTCAAAGTTTGAAAAAAACCTTGCCGAGTGGCAATGGGTGACCCGCGGTGCGCGTTCGATGATTTGGTCCCCGTTGGGGGCGTGGCGTGTGGGGGGAGCCAAAGCCCGGCTTCGAGGACGCGTGTTGGCGACGCAGCTCGGCCCGGGGAAAGGGCCTTAATAAAAACGGTAGAAATGAGGTAAAAGGGGAGGGGGGTGTGAGCCCAGACCGAGGGCTGGCCGAGGGGGCTCAGCATCGCCAGTCAATAGCCCCAGGCAAATTGAACCCGACTGGCCGGCCCGGCCGCACCAGGCGAATCTTTCCAACACTCGCATCGTCGCTGACTGTCGCACTCACGGGGCGTCCGGGGATGCGAGAGCGTGCGAGAGAGACAGAGCGACACGGCTCTTCGAAGCCGCTCGGCAGCCCCACGCGCGTCCTGCTGCTGGTGGCCAAGGCCGCCTAAATCATACACCTCTTTCAACCGTTTCGCCCTCCGCTAATTTGCCTTTTTTGCTTTTTTTGCAGGATGATCTTCCCCCAGAACAGATCGCTGGTGAGTACTCGCGCCAAGCGGTCGTATGATGGCAGCAGTGGCCCCCGCGCCGGTTCAGGTTCAAGCACCCCGGCAGTGAAACCCTCCATATTTTCCCCTCTTTTGAATGACACGCCGAACCCGGAGCGTGGTGCGGCGTAGCAGTGGCCACGCGATTCCCGGCAGCCCCCCGGAGCGCAGCGCCGCAGTCCACACGCCCCCGTCCCGCGAGGCCCTCCGCGAGGCCGTCTCGGGTGTCGCGGGGATGCCGTCGCGCGGTGCCTTTGCGCGGCTTGCTCTGGACGGGGAGGGACGGGCTGTGCGCGCTGCGCAACCGAGTGCATGACTCCGCCGCGCGACGGCCAGGCCCTTGCTCGGCCAGGCCGTCCCGTCGCGGCTGCCTCGGCGGTTTAATGCGCTTTGAGAGCCATAAATCTGGCCGGCAACGAGAGACCGGGACTCTGGGACTCTGGGGGCCGGGCGGCCGGCAGCAGCCAGCCAACCAGCAGCCGGACCAAAGGGGATGACGTCACCGCTAACGCCACGCCTCGCTATATTAAGACTCCGATCGCGGCGCCCGGCCGGCCCGCCCCGGGGCAAGTGATCCGCTAGCGCTACGCGACGCTACGCGACGCTACGCGGGGCGCGACGCCCCACCAACGCCACCACCGCCCAGAGCCACTAGGGCGTCCACGTCGTAGGCAGACCGCCGACCCCACCGCCTAGCGCCCCGCCGAGCTTTCGCAGCAGCGTGCAGCTCCTCCATGCCCTGCCGGCCGACTCCACTCCGAACTCCCTGTCCCTCGCGCACTCGGAGTGTCCCACGGGCGCGAGGAAGACAAAGGCGCTGTGAGGCATCGACGGATCGGAATCGCCGGCCTGCAGGCGTGGCGCAGCGACGGCAGCGACGCGGCCCACCCACGCCCTGCTGGCAGTCCCGCCGGCAGTCCCGCTGGCAGTCGACACTCTAGTTGGCACTCGTCGGCGTGGATCTGATACGCGGGAGGCGTGTCAAAAGGCCTTCCGTTGCCACCTCATTCAGAGTGGAGAGCGCGCGCAGCGCTCACACGCCGCCACCGCCACCACCGCGACCCACATCGACCGTATTTTTAGGAAAGCGCGACTCCGCCACACCGCGGCGCGACCGCGGCCGCCCGATTTCATTAATCCCTCCGCTTTTTCGCTCGTCGCTCCGTTTTTCCCGGCCATCTCTCAGCGTCGCACCGCGCCGAGGCCCGTCCGTCTCCCGCCAAAGGGGGGGGGACACGCACCGACACCGACGGGGAGCTGCCAACCCCCGCGGACGGGGCGACGGCACGGCTTGGCAACGCTTGGCAACCGAGAGGGAATATGTTGTGATACAGCGGGAGGAACGAACCCCTGGGCCGCGCCGCACAGCCCCGCGAGCACTGCCCACTCTCACAAACACCCCCCGCCCCCTCTCTCTCCCTCTTTCACACACACGCGCGCGCACACCCGCTGGCTGTTTTTTCCGCTCATTTAATTCGCACGCCCCGTCATAATAATCATCTCGGATGAAAAATTCGGCGCGGCAGGTGCGCGGCGTGGAAGCGAACGCAGGCCTGCTGGCGCTAGCTGGCCGCTGCTGGGTGTTCGCGACGCGAGCGCGGCGTGGCCAGGCCAGGCCAGGCGTGGCCGCGACCGCCCGGCCGCGCCCAGCCAGCCTCTAACCCTCTAGCCGCACCCAGCCGTGCCGATCGGTATTTCGGGGCGAAACTGGCGGAACGCTGCCACGCCGCCATGCTGCAGTAAATGTCACCGGGTGGCCGAACACCGCGTTGACGCCGTCCGCCCTACAGTGGGCCAGAAGACCGGTGGCGGCGCCCAAAATTCTAGACGCGTTTCGAGCTCCAGAGTCATTAAATGGTCTCGAATCGAACGTGTGACCCCACCAATGGGTTCCTCTACGAATGAGAAAGCAATTGAAGGGGTCGGAATCCATTGGTGGGGTCGTGGGGTCGGAATCCATTGGTGGGGTCACACGTTCGGTTCGAAGCCGGTTTACCGACTTTGGAGCTGAAAACGCGTCTTTTGAATTTTGGCCTCCTCCATCGGTCTTCTGGTCCACTGTGCTCTCGACGCTCTCTGTCTGTCTGTCTGTCTGTCTGTCTGTCTGTCTGTCTGTCTGTCTGTCTGTCTGTCTGTCTGTCTCTCTCTCTCTCTCTCTCTCTCTCTCTCTCTCTCTCTCTCTCTCTCTCTCTCTCTCTCTCTCTCTCTCTCTCTCTCTCTCTCTCTCTCTCTCTCTCTCTCTTCGCGCCCCTGGCCCTGTCTCTTTCTCCCTCATGGACAGCCACAGGCGCCACAGGTGCGCTCTAGGGACGATAAGGGCCGAGGGTCGACCCAAGGGAGGCCCATTCAAGCGGGCCGTGTCTCACGCCCTGCAGCCTGCCAGGAGGCGCAGGGGACGCTCACGCAAGCATCGCCCTGGGAACTTTCCAGCTAATGTCCTCTAATGGGACTCGCATCGAGCAAACGATGCGAGCAGCGAGGAATCCATTAGCGCCATCACGTGTCTGATTCGAATCCTGTTTGGAGACATCCGAGCTCAAAATTCGTACCCGGTTCACCGGCATCTTGGCACGCCCTCCAAGCCGAGGTCCGTGGTCGTGAACGTGGTCGTGAACGTGGTCGTGAACGTGGTCGTGAACGTGGTCGTGAACGTGGTCGTGAACGTGGTCGTGAACGTGGTCGTGAACGTGGTCGTGAACGTGGTCGTGAACGTGGTCGTGAACGTGGTCGTGAACGTGGTCGTGAACGTGGCAGGGCTGGTCAGCCTCGCGGGGTCCAAGACGTAGTGCGGCGTCGCCGTCCCTGCGGCCCTGTGTGGGAGGCAGCCTTTGACGATCCCCGCGGCCGCGGCAGGCGTCGGATCTATTTCAGGGCCTCCAAGTCGAGGCTGCCCGACGCTGCCCCGCGCCACGCCCCCCGCCGCCACGCCCTACATTTGGTCCAGTGGCCGGCACTCTGCTTGGGTGATTCGGCACGACCCGACACTGTTATTCCACTTGCGATGCAGAACGCACTTTCAGCGCGATACAAATTTCATCGCTCTTTTCTGTGATGATCATTGCAAAAAGGTGTGATGAGCTGCTGCATCGCAGAATTTTGCAATGATCATTGCAAAAAACTGTATTGAATGCAGATTTTGTGTTGTCATCATCGCATTTTTGTGCAATAATTCCTACTTTCATTGCAGAAATGTGCGATGATCATTGCAAAAATTTGTGATACAAAAGTCATCGCATCTGGGGAGCAATGATTCGTGGGAATCACATTTTGGATATTATCGCACGTTTTTGTGTTGAAATCATTGCAACTTGGATAACAGTGGAACAAGAAGCGCCGTGCCGGCAAGCAGAACGCTTGCTCTGTCTCGTTCCCACTCGTGGGCGTCCGGTAGTACAGCTGCGAGAGAGACAGAGCGACGAAAGCTGTGTGCGGACTGCGGCAGGGATGATGCAGGGGCGAGGCAGGGGCAGGGCGCGGCGGCGGCCAGGAAAAAGAAGTTAAGTGCGCGTAGTGCGCGCGCTTGGAAATCTTATTTTTGGGGCGGGGTTGGCGGCAATCAGTCTCGGCTGCGACTCTGTGACAGATGAGTCCGCGTCTGGCGCCGGCCAAGAAGTGCAGCGCGCGCCACGTCGGGGAGGAGAAGCGGAGAAGCCGCGGGGAAGGCGGCCGGCCGGGGAAAATAGATTCGTGTAAAAGCAGCAAGGCCAGCCGCGCGCGAAACGCCAAACGCCAGCAATGTTCAGGCTGATCCATTTCCCGTGCGGACGTCTGTCCTTGAGCGCGCCTCCCATGGGGATGGTCGTTGCCGACCGATTTCGCCACAGTTTTGCCCAGGGGAAAATGTCCACTAGCGTGTTGCTGATTGAACCTCTCCCTGTTGTGTTGCAGTCCTCCGCAAGGCCTTCGATGCCTTCGACCGCGAGCACACCGGCTCCATCCCCTGCGACATGGTGGCGGACATCCTGCGGCTCATGGGGCAGCCCTTCAACAAGAAGATCCTGGAGGAGCTCATCGAGGAGGTCGACGCCGACAGTGAGTGCCGTCTCCGCCTTGCCGCCTTTCCCAGTGGGCTAGAAGACCGGACCAAAACCCAGAGTCGCTTAGCAGGACTCGAACCGATCGTGTGACCCTGCCAATGGATCGCTCTCCGAACGAGGAATCCATTGGTGGGGTCACACGCTCGGTTCGAGTCCTGCTAAGCGACTCTGGAGCTCGAAACGCGTCCAGAGTTTTGGCCGTATGCGCCGGCCTTCTGGCCCTGCCTCGCACCCCGCCTCGCACCCCGCCTCGCACCCCGCCTCGCACCCCGCCTCGCACCCCGCCTCGCACCCCGCCTCGCTGTGCGCTCGTGATGCTGATGCACTCGTTCGGCCCGCAGAGTCCGGCCGCCTGGAGTTCGAGGAGTTCATCACCTTAGCCGCCAAGTTCATCGTGGAGGAGGACGCCGAGGCGATGCAGAAGGAGCTCCGGGAGGCCTTCCGGCTGTACGACAAGGAGGGTAAGGCGATGGACTCCGCGCTGGATGGTACGCGCTCACGGGGCCGCCGCACCCCACGCCCCACTGTGTGGTCAATCATGGCTGTCCTTCTGCGCAGGCAACGGCTACATCCCCACATCCTGCCTCAAGGAAATCCTGCGGGAGCTGGACGACCAGCTGACCGAGCAGGAGCTCAACATGATGATCGATGAGATCGACTCTGACGGATCCGGCACCGTCGACTTCGACGGTCAGTCCCAACCTCCGCCCTGGACTTCCCCGGCTGGGCCGCGGGCCCCAGGGCCTGGCGTCCGGGCGGTCCCAGGCCCCGGGGCCCCGCGGCCGCGGGCCGTGCCGCCTCAGAAGCGCCGTGCGTGTCGCTACACCGTGCGCCTAAATGACGGGGCACGCCCTCCAGGGCCGCGCTCTCAACGCGCGCCTCCCCCGGACGCCGCTTGAAGCGCGGTCCTGGAACCGCGCCCCGCGCCCCGGTGTCAACGGGTGGCCGAAGCCAACCGAAGCCAAGCGACGCGGAGCCGATGAGGTTGTCCTTCGGCCACCCGGCCTGCACTGGCCGCGCCCCGCGCAGCGCCGCATTGGCGAGCCGCAGTACTAACACACTTCTGCAGGAGGGCTTCCCTGTCTCGCGCGCACTCTGTACTCGCCCGGCCTCAAATTCCTCGTCGGAGAACGAGCAGTTTCGGCCGGGCGAATCCCGGAGGGCCCGGAGGGGACGCGGGGGAGGATTCGGCTGGGCCTCGGGCTGGGCCTCGGGCTGGGCCTCGGGCGGGGCGCGCCCCCATCCCCTTTCCCCAGAGAAGCGGCTGCTCGAAGTGGTGTCGATGCGTCCGCGAGACTGCGACGCACTGCGACGTCCTTTGGGGTGGGGGAATTTGAATCTCAAGCACCACTGTTCGGACAACCCTCCCCTCTGGGACAGGCCGAAGAAGACGCCCAAGTCCGCCCCCGCATCATCCTCGCGGCGCCTCGCGGGTCTTCGTGTCGCCGCTCGTCGCTCGCCGCCGGACGGCTGGGTCCAGGGTCGGAGAGCACTGCGCTGGGAGGGGGAGGGGGAGGGGCGGGGAAGTACCTGGCGGGGTGCCCCACGCAACTCTCTGATGGCTCCCAGTCCCGTCGGGTAGCTCGCTTTCGTATCTTTATCCTACAGTGTGTACGTAATTATGTGATGTTGACAAAGCTGCATCCTCTTATAATGCGCCTGGCTAAGATGCGACGCCAATTTGACGAGAAAACCGTCGTTTGGTGCCCAGTTCGACCTCTGTGGGAAGTGTGTGGAAAACTCCAGGCAGCATAAGTAGTTGGTGTCTCATTAATAGCAGCTGTCAATTCACAGAAATTTGTTAGTTGTTTATTTACGTTTTGTTTATTTCTAACCCTTGGCTATAAAAAATAACATTATAAACTGTGAAGTAATTATGTGGAGCCTTAATTCATGGAATTGTGAATCTCTTCTAAATTTATTTTTTCTCATATAACCTTTTTTTGTACATTTTTTACCCTTGTTTTTTTTCTCAGAGGGTCTGTGTTTATGTATATTTTTTGTGTTTGAAATCAATGTTTCAATTTATTGTTCTGACATCAAACAGCCAATGTTAGCAGATCTGACTCCCCTCCAATTAATTCTGCAAAGCCACCCAGGGAAAATAACCTCGCGCTTGTAGTTAGTTCGCTCACTGCTTTCACTTGCTCAACCTCTGTAGAATTTTATTGTTTCCACTTTTTTCTTTTTTTTACACAATTTTATGGTGCGAGCTATTTGTAACCAAAATCAAATAAGCTCAAAATTTTTGCACCTTGCCCTGAAATTTTTTTTCTTGGAGGAGAATTTTTGGTCCTTGACTGTGGAGAGTAACATCATCTTTCTATTGAAACATCCTTGTTTCCTAACTACTCACTAAAATCGTATTCTACAAGGGGTTATACAAGCGTAAGTAGCTTGTGAACTAACTGAGTGAGGCGCGCTTCAAGCTCCCTGTCATTAACACTATCATTATGCTTGCTTTGTGTGCTTGTTACAGAATTTATGGAGATGATGACCGGAGAAGTCTAGTTTGGTGATCGTATCGTGTGCAAAATATGACAAAATGGTAAGATGTTAGCACTAACAGTAGGCACGCCTGTATGCAGCTCATTGTAGTATATGTTGTGTGAAGTTTGTGTCTTTTGAGTGACTCACCCTAACAAAACAAGAGATTTTATCCATGCACGGTAAAACCTGAATTGTCCTCGTCTTCATCGTCGAAGAATGAAATTATGCTTCGATGCTTTTAAAGCAAGAAAGATACGTAAACTTCTTGCCCTGCACGTATGCAATAGAAGAAAGTCACATCTTCTATCTTCCTCTGCATGGTTCATCTTAAAGTCCTTCTGCAGTGATGAATATTAAAAATAAGGTGATGCAACAATAATTTTTATTGTGCATGGTACCATAAAAGCTGTAGATCTAGAAATCTAACAAATTTTAAAGCATTCTACTCCATTAAACTGACCTATTTAATGGCACCTGAAATGCGGGACACTGATTAGACATAATACTATGATCAGTGCTCATATAGATTCAGAGGATCTAAAAAGTTTCAACCCTCCCTTTCTTAGTTTTAATCTTTGATATAGCTCGCAAAAATTTGAAGCATGTAGAATTAGCGTCTGTGGACCAGATAAGGCTGAGACTTTTGCTCAGTAATAAATAAATAAGTTTTAATTATTTTGATGTTGTAATGTTTTGGTATTGTTATGCTCTGAGGCAGTCTTACATTTAATACAAAAGTGCCAAACCAATCAATAGTATAAAACTGAAAAACAAATCTACCATTCTTCAATTTGCAGCTATGTGCAGAAACCACCTGAAAAACTTGCTTGAATAGTTCCATTAAGTTGATTGTGCTGTATAAAGCCTCCAAGCAGTCTCCTTCTTTCACAAAGCATCTTGTTAGAAGAAAAATGTTCCCATCCCCTCCTTTGTTGTTAGTGAGGATATGCTTCCCGGTTTGTAATTTTGAATTATGCCTGTTCCAGAATTCATGGAGATGATGGTGGGTGAGGAGTAAAGTGGTCCTGCTCTGAGACACTCATTTACACATGGTGATCATACACTCCACCCAATTCAACAGCCTCCCATGAAGATCAAAGCCCTCACTCACTCTTTTGAACTATCATTTTTGTCAAAACCTACCATTATCATTCTTGACTGTTTTTAATGTATGTATTATGCCTTATTCCGTAACATTTCTTACTGGGCCTAATTGTGATTGTGGTGTATGTTTAGTATTGAAATGGGGAGAATGTTCCATTTCTGTAAGTTAAATGTAAGTTGCCTTCTGAGAACCAAAGCACTCTCAGAAGCTGGCACACTTCAACCATATTTATACTTCAAGAGAGTAGAAAAAATTAAATCACTCAAGGAGCAGGAATGTTCGAGAATCGTTTGCATATCTGTTTATACAAATATTGTTTATCTTGTTTTTATGATGTAGCCAGTTATTTTTACATTGCGTGTATCCCTCTCATATTTTGACTACAGTATTCCAAGAAGAGAATAAAATGTAATAAATTACAAAATTTGTATAGAATTCTATTTATTAATCCAGTATACATGGTTGTGCACATAGAAATAGCAGAATGTATGGCATTACAGAAACAAGTTCATTTGTCAATCTGACAAATCAAATCATTTCTCCAACACAAATCATGGAAACATATGGATTTCATCATGTTTCTTTGATACAATCTTTCAATAAATGTTCCTAATAAAATATGTCCCTGCCAGTAAAAGAGTCTAATAAAATACTGTAGTTCCTAACAAATTACAAGTAAATTTTGAGAAATGCACAGAGAATGAAATAACTACATCACTACGATACATTACAGACCAATGGTATTGAATTCAAGGTGGGAAGTGACTGACATTGTGCAATAAATAAAAACATAAATGCAGTCCATTGAACAAGCAATGAAGAGATACTGTAATCACACAAAAGAAAGACAACAGTTGGATCACATCTTACTGCCATTAGAATGGGCAACCATGAACAATTATACTATTCAACAAAAGTAGGCTACAAAATCTGGAAAAAATAAATGTTGTTTTAAAAATTGGAAACCTGTAAGTACAGAGGATCTGATTGAAATACTTGAAGCGAGGTGAATTGGCACCATATGGACCACTTAAGCACTATAGACAACTAATTTGCAGAAAACAAATGACTAGGATAGATGCTAACAATTTCCACTTAATGGGTCTTAGAAGGAACATATGTGATGAATAATTTTACTTTGCCTAATACTCTGAGAATGTATTGACCCTATCTCTTAACATGGATGAACTACTATGTTCTTGTTTTGAAGCAATCATGTTACTAGGGAGGCAAAAAGAACATTTGGTAATAAATGTAAAAAAAAAAGAGTTTGGCAAGCATCAAGGAAGGTCCTTTTGAACAAAAGGACACCCAGCATGAAAAGACGGAGAATGATACCCAGGGGGAGAATCCAGAGGAAATGAAGAATTGTTTCCATACAAAACCCGACTGCCAGCAGTCTCATGAAATGTCATGGTTCATTCAAAAAGTGAGAACAGTAACATTCAAGTATCGAATTAAATGATTACGCAATTAACTTTGATCAGTCTACAGTCAACAAAAAGAAACTTAATGTCATACATCACAATAACTTATGTTGCAAAATAGAGTTTAAAAAATGACTTCAAACATGAGATTCACCTTAACATTTGACAAAATTTGTCTTTGTGTCATTTGAAAAAACAAACAAACAAAAAAACTATAGTTAAATAATCACAGCATTGCTACTCAATACAAAGTCAGCACCCATAACATAAACATTAGGAAGGACTAGCAGGAAGCAGGATAACATTTTGAACAGTCACAAATCAACAGTAGTACAACATATAAAATCTTCCACAGACGTAACATTTTAAAATCATGTCAAGATAATAAGAGAGCACCGCAACTGTGACGATTACCAACAGCTCAGGCAGGCGGTGTGACATAAACAAACTCTCTCACCAACATGGACATTGTGGAGTCAACACTTTGTTCAGAGCTCAACAGAGCTCAAAGCTTACGGGACAACATCTGAGAGGTTCCATCATAAAATTGGAAATCAAATAATTCTAAAAGTTACTTTTTAAAAAAAAAATGGTACAAATAGGTAAAAATAGCAGCAAATTAAAAAAAAAAAAGTTGCAACAATGGCAAGATGAAAAATATGATTGTATGTGAGCAATGTGTCACAAGAATAATTTTGGTCTGATTACTATAAACAATACATTCAACATTTAACTTGTGCAAATTTCTGATTATAATATTTGTGGCGATACACTGACTTTCATCATTCACAAGGTGAATAAACCTTGAAAACACTGAATAAAATTTAGATAAAACATCAATGCTGCTAACACAAACACAAAGACATTACTCACAGAATTCCAAGTTTGATGTGAGACATCATGGAAAATGATTAATACAAAGTTTCAATACATTTAATATTGAGAGATGTTGGCACTTGAGAAAATTGGGTTGGAATGTTATTCCTATAATAAAAGCATGTCAGGTAGCTTAACTTTGTTTTTGACACTTGAGAATCAAACACTTCTATTACAGCTTGAGAATCACATCCCGAACAGTTCTGACCTACAAATTTTTGTGCTGCAGCAACAAGAACAAAGAAACATGTTTGAAGAGATATTGAAAATTTTGATTTTCCCATATCCCTTAGTTAACTTTTATTTTGGTTTCCTTCTACTGTCCTCTTTAGTATAAGCCATCAAAAACCAAAATACAGGATTAACGTTTGAAATAATTTGGGAATTCATTTGAAATTTCTCTAACCAGCATCTGATCGGGTTGACTAGCTTCAGTTTCTTCACAAAATATACGAGTGAAACACTTGAGCAAATCTTCTCGGCGATGTTCATGTTCTGAATATGGTGTGTTCCGGAGAACAAGCCGACACATTTCCAGGTACACACGGCGTCTCTGGTAACAATATGAACAAAATAAAAATCATAATACTAATTTCATTTAAGGACATAATCTGCAATACACAAATCATAATAAAACATACCTGGTCTCCAGGTGGCAAATCAGCAAGTCTTCGTAGTGAAATATCCAACAGAACTCGAGTATCATTTGTGTAAAGAAGAGCAGCTGTTTCAGCACGGAGCAGCACATCAATTATCATTTTTAGAACAGCATGAGGAGGCACTGGTAAATGATCAAGTGTGCGAATGGGGTCCTCTGTAAATACAAAACAATTATTATTCCTGTAGCCACTTTAAATTTGATGCCCTTCCCAACTCCCTACTTGTGAACTGCTAATCTGCTAATTATCTAACAGCCAAATTTCTTTCTATCCTGTTTATCTCACCTTCTCGGTTAACAAGAAGAAGCAACTTTTCCAGAAAAAGTTTGGCAGTAGATCTTTGGGCCAGAGCTTCAATGGTTTCATTAGGGAGGTTCTCATGATTAGTTCCCGGACGCCACTGCAGGTTGTAAGCTAGAACCAGCTTGAAGAAAGATTCACTGACTTGCTCCAAACTAACACTTCGATTAGCTAGAAGCAGATCAGCAGCAGATTCTCCTCTGATACTCTGCTCCATTTCTTTGACATTTTCTCCCTCCAGAATTGCCAACAAGAAGGAAATAAAATCACGGCCAACATGTTCTGAATAACAAACACAAATGTTACAAATCTGAAAAATTAAATCCTATTGTAACATTTGGAACAGAAATTTCTTTTACCCAAATGGGGAACTGGCATTGCCTCTCCCATGCTGTAGATGGTAGTCAACAAGGAAGCAGACTGGACAAGACGAGCATTATTACAGGCACTGCTCCGCATGTCCCTACAACAAAAATTAGTTTGGTGGCAAACAATTTCTTTCCCACTTGAGGTACCATAGTCAATTTTGAGAATAAAAGTTTACCTTGCTAGCTCCATGGGTAGAACAGAGGCTAACAAAATGGACACAATGTGACCATCCAGGACACACATTGCTTGAAGCACTTTCAAAACACGAGCACGCAAGTCCCATCGGGTTTCCATTTGATAATACAGAGCAACATTAACCACATACTGGTATTGCTCACTTGAAAGAACATGCCGACAGATGTTGGGATCTGCATTAGTCTGCAAAAATTATACAACTTGGTTAAATAGGTCAATAAATAAATAAATAAATAAATAATAGTTAAACAAATAAAAATACAAGACATGACTAAATTTTTATGGGTAGTGATTTTTCTTACCAAAATTGATGCAATTTCTTCCAAATATTCACTGATGATTGATTGATCTTCATATAGTGCCCAGCTGCGTTGTTGCTGATCATCTTTGCACTTTGTCAGTTCTGACAGAGCAAGATCAAGTCTACGTGCATCAAGACTAGACTCAAGGGCTGAGTTAGGAGTCGGCACAGGTCGAGACACCAAATGTAACAATGTGTCAACAGGAGGACAAGATGCTGTTCCCAGCAATCGATGAAGCTTTGACAAAACCACACTAACAGCAATTCGGCTTTGGTCATGGTTCAGTGATGTATGTTTTCGCACCTAAAAACAAAAAAAGGAACAAAATAACTACAAAGAGCCACAAACGTGTACATCATTTTTTAAGTTAAGTTGATGATATACAAACCTCTTGGAGTATTTGATATGCTTGGACACTATCCACAGTTGGCCAGCATGTCTCCAGAATGCTATCGGATTGAGATGCACTTGTCGAAAGACTATCTGCACTACTGGCTACTCCATTAGCTGCAGTTTCCTGGAAGGCATTACTAGAATCCCAGTGGCCAGATTTGGGATTTTGAACTTTTCTTCCACACTCATCAAGAGAAGAATGTCTTCGAGGTACAACAGGACTAGGAGTTTTTGCCTATGGAAATATGGAATCACTCTTAATATAATGCAAGGAGAAGGGCATAACTTGTGCGAGCAGATTTAGGACCCTTACTTTATTTCCTGCGCTGACAGAAAACTTGCTCTGACCAAACTTTGGCAGCATTGCAGCTCCTCCAATGGCAGGCACAGCACCACAAGGCACAGAATGGGGAGTAGTGGCAGGAGAGTTCCCTCTATCTGGGGAAAAGTCTGCCGGTGGGGGAGGCCCATGCTTGGAAGACAACTGACTCTCCTCAGCTTGTTTCCTAATACTGGCTAAGTGCTTGGATAGATCAGAGCGCTCCTGAGAAATACTGTCGCCAGAAGCTTTGTGCTCTTCAGCTAAAATTTTTTCACAAGCTGAGACAAAGTCAAGAATTTGAGATGGAGAAACCTAAGAAACCAAAATGAATTTATTAAAACAGTTTATCAGAATTAGGAGTCAATTTTGGATTTTGTTCATATTGTGAGAAGAATTTTGCATGTTGACTGAGAGGTAACAACTGTTTATTGAGTTCTAAAATAAGTCACATGTACCTGAATCTTTGTGATGTAGTTGGAAGGTATGAAGCCTACTTGTCCTTTCCGATTGACAACCTGCCACCATTGTCTTTGCTTCTTGTTGGTCGGATACAACACAAATAATTCTTTCTCATTAAAGCTCAAAGTCTTTGCCAGTGTGGCTTTGAAGTCATAAAGGGCTTGCAGCATTTCACATCCTGTCAAACACCAAAACCAAACATTTAAACAGGTGATGAATGAATGAATGATTATTCTTATGAATGCTTCATTCATCAGATTAAAACAAACAATATGAGGGCTCTTATATCATGTCATTGAGTATTTGCAAAAGAAATGATGGAGAAGTTTTAGTAGAACAACAAGATATGGGAGTAGTCCTTACCTAACCTTCCATCCTTCTTTGAATCAGAAACTTTAGCGTCGGACATGGTTGACTATTTTTTTTAAAAAATGGACCAGATGCCAATTGTAACTATTGAAAACTCTCAGAACCGTAAAATACGATGCGGTTGTGTAAACATAACACAAAAGTCAACAATCCAGCAGACAGTATTTTATCTTCCTTGAAAATTGCAACAATAAGACCTTCTACGAGGCTAGGCATAGAAAAAAATCAGTTGACAAACATACTGTTTCTAAAAATGCGATTCAAGCTGATGTATGTACCCAGTTTTTAAATTTTTTTGTTATAGCAGAAGAATTTGATTCCTGTTTTAATTTCAAGATACTTTAATTCAATGGTACGATTGTTCACTGGAAGGGAAACAAAACCTGATCAGGCGTTATGTTGGCAACAGTCAGCTGTGCCAGTGTTTTGTTTGTTGATTTTGTCGTCTGCTCATCAGCTCAGAAGAAAATGAAATGCTTGTTTTCATTTAGTTATGGTTTATTATATTTGAAGTTTTCATGAATCCATTCTTGTATATTTTCTCATGATAGACGCTGCAGAGACCCTTATTGCTGTACCAAAAGGTGAGTTCCCAATACATGATACCATCTACGTAGAATGTATGAAGTGAGGTTACGTTCAGCTGTCAAACTTCAGAGAAATATCAGCTTTTCGCGTCTTTTGTGTAAGAGATGTAGCATTTTCTTATTTTTTGTTATAAATTTTATTCGTCTTATCTCTGATAATTTTACCCATACATTGTGAAATGACACATAGAATGGTAGGACGCCTCTGCTAATACGCCATTGTATTTTCATTCCATTTTAGATCAAAATGAAAGGAAAAGATGATGCAGAATTGGACGGTGCTGGAGGTGGCACAGGGTCTTCAAGAAAATGTTCAGGAAAAAATAGTGCTGCCATGGATTCCTCAATATCATCTTTTATTCATCAGGAGAAGTTGTGTAAGGTGAGCCAGTGTGACAATAGTTTGTTTTGATATACATTCTGCAAGCACCTAAAAGTACCACAAAATCTCTATTTGTTTTTAATTTTCAGGAGTTATATTTATCAATGGGTGTTCAACCTAAAGACATTGCTGGTATGAAGCTTTCCTATTTTATTTTTAATGCTAACTTTTGTTATTATGTGAATGCGAAAATTTTAACAATAATAATAATATTTTTTAGATACCAGTGATGATGATGTCGCAAGCATACTTGAGCAAATGAGTAGATTACATCCAAATGTACAGGAAACAGGTATGTATAATAATTTGGATGAATTGATATTTGTTTTACAGTTCTATCGGTGAAATCTCATACTGATTCTTTTTTTGTAGGGGGTGGCAGTGAACGGAATATAGAGGATATATTACGAGAAGCAGAATGCCTGCTGGATGGACAGAAAAGCCATCTTCAATCTAGATCAAAATCCAGCAGCATTAGTTCAAGAAGTGAATCTGAAGCATCAGGCACCTCCGATCAGAGGCTTCTCAATGCAACAAAGTCAGTCCATTCATCATCCTCAGGATTGAAAAGTGATGTGAAGCAAAGACAGTTTGACAGTTGCAATACAGAGCCATCTGCTTTAGCCTCCTCCTTGCTACAAAACCAACATGAAACAGTTGTCCCTCCCCATCTTGTTGGGACTCCTTTAGAAGCCACCTATAAGCGAATTTATGAACAAATAAGAAAGGAAGTGGAAGGCACTTTAAAACCCCAGCTCACGGGTGACTTCCCTGATTTGAAATTGTCATTACCCATTCCAGGGTTAGATACCCCTTCTTTTGATGTTCCTGGTTGTTTTAATTTGGAACAAGAATTCCTTGAGGAGCGCAAAAGGTGTCTGAAGTTAAAAGGTATGTGGGTTTGCTTTCTTTCTCTGCTTTAATGAAACTTTATAATGCATTGTCTTGTACATATCTAATACTTTATCTGCAAATGTTCTAGCTGATTTAGATTGGCTTAAAAAACAACATGAGAGAGAAGTTGCTGAGCTGCGTCGGCGACATGAAGGGCAACTGAATCATGTAAGAGAAGAATTAAGTACTACAACTAACCAGGTATAAGTTTATTTTACCCATAAATTTTTATCCTTATAAATCATTAAGTTTGTACTAATCTGTGGCACCGCTATTTCCAGGATCCATCAATTACTTTACTGCAGAGTGAAATTAAAGCTCAAGAACGCATTATTTCTGGATACCAAGATGAAAATGAAAAACTGTGTGCTGAACTTAAAGATATCAAGGTAAGCTAAGTTTTCATGTTACTGCTGCGTTAGAGTTTAAATAGAAGTGTGGAAAAACATGGTTATCCTTGAAAAACCAGACTAATTGGATAGAATGATTTTAGCAAATTCTGTGTAGAAACTGCTGGCATCTTTCATTATTATGTCACATGATGAATACAAACAGATTGTGGGTGGGAGTGAGAGAGAGATAGCAAAACACTTTGGGCATTTATACGTGCTGCCTGTGTGCTTGCAGAGGATGCTGCTGAAGTTGATGGCTCTCCTCAAGGCAGACATCGACAGAGTGTTCGTCTACCCCTGACACCTCTGACCCGACAAAACAAGGTTTAGATGTAATGTGTAGATTTTAACACATCCAAGTACCACCTTTATTTATTTAATTTGTTTGTTATTTTTGAAAAGACAAAACACAAAGAAAGGACGTTTTTCCTGTTCTTTTTGTTTATTATCACTTCTAGTCCAAACTTAATTTATTTGCAGATTTTTGTGGCAATTGTGATATATTTTTGAATTAGACTAAGTAGGCCTTAATTGAATGGATAGCATATATTTTCCTATCCACAGAATGACTTGCTCAAAAGCATTTTCAAATTTGCTTTGTTCGAGTTTCGGATTAAAGCACATATTTCCATTTCTGTTTCATGTTCTCGTTTTTGCTCTCTCCTCTCAACTCCCCTGCACTTTGTACTCAGAAACTCTCATACATCATATCAGGTAAACACAGCTTCTAGAAAAGGGAATGGAAAAAAGATTTTTTAGAGAGAAAATTTTGTACGTATTTTTCAAATGACTGTCTAGGCACAGTCTCTGCAGAAGAAAGCTTACTGTTCAAAATTAATAACTCAACGTAACGTACCGTTCCCCTGCAAGAATCGAAAACCGCTCACTGTGCGGTCCTTCCATGAGCGCTCGGACTCAGAGCCCACCCAGGATGGGGGGCTGGGGAAGGGAAACGGGGAAAGGGGGAAGGGGATTAGCGAACCGTCCTGCAGACTGCAAGGACTGGAGCCCAAGACGCTTGCCAAGTCGACTGAGCCGGGCTGTGCGGGCTGTGCGGGCTGGGCTGGGGTCACCAAATGTCGTCGACCGGAAACTTTAAACTTATCGGCTTTAATGATGCTGCCGGACGGGTATCAGCAGCGGAGTCTGCCCGCGGCCTGCGGCCTGGCCTGCGGGCCCCGAGCCCCCCGAGCCTTGCCTTTTCGCACGGCACTTCGGCCGGCTTTCGCGCGCTGCCACTTTTCTTTGCCGGTGGAAGCAAGCAACCTTCTGGTGGCAACCTGTCAACCGGCAGAGGCATTGGGTGTCAAACCTGTTGACGTCATCGATATCGCATTCCCCACACTGTTGACACGGCAGAGAGTTCGCCCCTTTGCGCACGCCACTGCCCGTGGGCGGCCTTGCGCACTCGCGGTCCTCCCGACGATGAAGGAACGCGACAAGGGCTAATCTGTTATTCCGATCGCCGGTTCACACATAAAGTGTGCGCGCTGGAACGGCCGCACCTGCCCACCTACCTACCCCCCCGGCCGAGCTCGCTCTACGCTCACTCTTTACCTTTACGGTGTTTGCTCAGTCTCGGCCACCACCAGCCCCTCGCCCCCCCCCCCCCCACCCCCCCCTGGCCCTGGCCTGGGACGGAGCTCCGCCTGACCTGAAGGGACCGTTAGGTGGTCCAGGTGTGTGAAAAGCAACGTGCGGTAGCGCCACAGGGGGTTAAGACCGCAAAACAGGAGGGCTCAGGGGAAGGGGGAAACTTTACGACCTCGGCATACGCACTTCCCGCAAACCGCGCGCCCGTGCCGAGTTTTAACGAGGAACTTTGGCGGGGCACCGTTTTGTTTTTGTTTCCATTGTTAGGCGTAGGTCGGGCGTCGGACTTGTCGGGTGGCCTGTCGGCCTGTCACGTGTCTGTCATCACGTGTCGCCTGCGTCCGGTCGGTCACCACACCGTCACCAACCAAGACTCGGGAATGGAATCGACCCGCTGCTCTCATTTTTTCACAAATACGCGTGAGATAACAACTTTATGAAGTCGCACCGCGTGTCAGGCGAGGAGGAGACCCGAGAAAACAAATCAATATTCTCCCCTTGTTCCACCCATCCATCCTTCTTACTTTTTTCTCGTCCAAATCCGAGACACACACGTCCGCGCCTGTGAATGAATCGGATTTAATGTCCCTGGCACCTCGCCGGCCCAATCGAGTCACCTTTATTTATGTGGGATGGCCACTTCGATCTGGTCCGATCCAATCTTAGAGTGTTAGAGTGTTATCCTGGCATGTTTTGGCACTGCTGCTTTGTAGAGCGAACTGCAGAGAGGGAGGGAGAAAGGTGGGGGAGAGGCTGAGGCAAAACCAGTTATTGTCCCCAGCCGCACCGTCTCCAGCCCAGCCACAGACACTGGTCTGTCAAATCCCGAGGCATTGCTCACGATCAGCGACTTGACAAATTGCTGGGACGCTGCGACTTGAGGCGGCATTCGTCTCCGCCATGGAGGAGGTGGAGAAGGGCCTCATCTGCAGAAGGGCCGCAGATAGATTTACTTTGAAAGCGGACAAGAAAGTCTTCGTGGAGGCGGATTGCACATCAAAAGAGTGTCCGGCGAAAAATCGCACCCCGCAGAAAAGGCATGCTGTCTCGAAGAGGGAGTACGAAACCTGGCCTACATTGGACGCAGAGCCGCCAGTCAGCCCAAACGACCGTTTTGACTAACTTTTCGGCCTGCTCTCAAACCAAGGCAGGAAATCACACTCCTTGATTTTTCAGTAAGCGGAGGAAAGGTTTCTGGATATGCGGCGGGCACTGTGAAAATGTGTTTCCATCCTGCTCCGTCCCGGGCAGCCGCTTTGGCCGGCGCTGCGAGGGCTTACCGGGGCACGTCCTTCGCCCTTTCCATTTCCCTGGCGGCGACTGCCAAGGTGAGGCGAGGCCCTGGACGTCCGGACGTTCTGGACGTTGAGGCGGAGTGGGAGCGGCGGCAGCAGCGGGGGCTTTAGGGATTGCGATTTGACGCGCGCACCGCCTCGCACGTAACGCGTGAGCCAAAAAGGACGCTCAGGACGTCACTCACAACACCCGACCTCTTGGAGACCTAGGGCCTCATGGACACCCAGGACCTCCTGGACACCCAGGACCTCCTGGACACCCAGGACCTCCTGGACACCCAGGGCCTCCTGGACACTTAGGACCTCCTGGACACCCAAAACACCGAGGCCATCTGGGACACGACCTAGACATGCAGGACGCCTAGGCCACCTAGGACACCTAGGCCACCTAAAACACCGAGGACATCCAGGACCCTCAGGACCCCGCAACATGTTGCTGCAGCTCGCCGCAAATTGCGAGTTTCGGGAGGCGTGTTGTGCGGCCAAGCCGAAGCCAAGCCGAGGCCCGGTCGGTGTATGACACCCAGTTTGTTACCAAGCGACATCATCGCGGCGGGAGAACGGACACGTAAAAGACGCAAAAGAAACGGACACTTGTGAAGACGGAGCCAACCTGTTATCGAGCGGTAAGTAGGTGTAATAACAGTTTGTCACTTGAATGGTTATTGCGGGAGGGAGGAGGCTTGCCTGGCCGTGCCTGGCTTGCCGAAGCCGTCAGGCCGTCTGGCGGCAGCTAATTAAAGATTAGGAGTCGCGAGGCCCACAGCCTGCCTGGAGCCTGGACTCCGCCTGGACCCGCTCCACGGACGATCTCCATCGGCCAGAGCAAAAGAAAACATTTGGGAGTTTGGGAGTGGGAACCCCTGCGGGCTTGGCTTGGGCCCTGCCGTGGTCGGGCACCACGTTGTCGCTAAGTCGTAGAGCCAGACCGCCCGGCCGGCCGGCCACAGTGTCATCCTTGATCCCCCCTTCCCCTCTCGTCTTATCAGAGCCAGGCGCTGGCCGGTGACGCTGCTTCGTGTTCGAATCTCGCTGGAAAGTTTGCGCATGAAAGCGCGCGCCGCCGTGCAGCCTGGAGCCGCCGACACTGCAATAGTGGCACTCCGCCCCCCGCCCCACCCCGCGCCGGGAGGCCCGGAAATTAATCTCTCGTCACCTCAAAGCGCCTCGAGGCTCTTAAGGCCCTCAAGTTGAAGGCTTGGTGGCGGCGGCGCGGCGCGGACCGCGCTCGAAGGTTAGCACATGGTTCCAAGGTCACGGCCACGTCCTGGACCTATGCTACCCTGGGAAGCTGGGAAGCCACCCGACCGGTAGCGGTGTCCCTTCATCTCGCGGGGCGGGGCGGGGCGGCGCGGCGACAGACCGGTCGGTCCCCCTCGCGGCGTGGCCACGCCGGCTGGCAAGCGAAGGCATAAAAGGATGGCGACGGCTCGGTGCGTGCCGCAGTTCGCAGTGCACAGTACGATGCGGTGCGGCGGAGCACCTTTCCGCGCGATGGTCGTGAGGGCCGCGCTCGTGCTGGCCGTGCTGGGCGCGTGCGCCTCTCGGTGCGCCTGCTCGCCCTGGAACCAGGACGACGTGGACCGCCTCCGCGCGTGGCAGGAGCGCCAGGACGAGCGCCTGCTGATGCAGCAGCGCGGCCTGGAGGAGCGGCAGCGGCTGCACGACGACCTGCTGCTGGAGCGCCTGTACCAGCAGACGGACGGCCAGCTGCACCGCGAGCGGCAGCACGACGAGCGCCAGACCGAGCGCGACGAGCGCCTCAACGACCACCAGCGTCTGCGCGACGACCTGCAGCAGGACCGCCAGACCGAGCAGTCCGAGCGCCAGGGCCACTTCCAGGACATACGCGACCAGCACCTGGACGAGCACCAGCAGCTGCACGACGAGCTGGCCTCGGACCGCGAGCGCGAGGTGGAGGACCTGCGCCGCCAGCGCGAGCAGCTCACCGACCAGACGCGCCGCGACCGCGAGCGCACCGACCGCGAGCGCGAGCGCGAACAGCAGCGCCGCGAGCGCGAGCAGCATCGCCGCGAGCAGGAGCGCGAGCAGGAGCAGCGCCGCGTCGAGCGCGAGCGCGACCTGCGCGACCAGCGCCGACGGTGGAGGCGCGACGCGGACGCCGCCAACGCCACCGCCACCGACGCCGTCAAGTCCTACGAGGGCTCGCAGCTGTGGCGGGTCCAGGCCTCGGAGGGCGACGTCGCCAACCTGCAGAGCCTCGAGACCAACGGAGGTGCGTCACTGCGTCACTGCGTCGCCACTCGACAGGCTAGGGGGCGCAGAACCACGGGGGGAGATAGTGAGGCTCAAACGGCCAAACGAAAACACGTGCACAGCGAAAGGGCAAAAGGCTGCAGCGCCGATTGTCGGCTTGCTCGCAGTGGTGGAATTGTTTCGACGTGCAACCGATACCCAAAGTTTGTGCTCTGGATTGGGGACTTGCGAATTCGCGGAGGAAAACATCAGATTTTTATGTATTGGTAGCGAGCCAAACCTGCTCTGAGTCAGACCGAAGTGCCGGCGCGTCGCGGCGTCTGCCGACGGTTTCCGCGAGACCGGGGGTGGGGAAATCTCCACCATCGGCCAGTGCATTCCTCCCTCCCAGTAACCACTACACTGTGTTTTGTGCGAGACGGTGGGCGTCGTTCCTAATGTCTGTGATGTGCCGCAGTGGCCCAGGTGTGGTACAGCAACGCCACGGTGTGGGACTTGCTGGTGGCCGCCGAGAACCAGCCCCACGTCAGCAAGCTGCTCGCCGACAACAAGCTGGCCTACACCGTGGTCATCGCGGACCTGCAGCGCGCCATCGCCGAGGAGAACCCCGCCCTGTCCGAGGAGGAGCTCGAGCTGACCGGCAGGAAGGGTGAGTCCATACAGTTTTTTCTTTTTCTTTGTTTTTCGTCGGTGGGGTGGGCGATAGCGCACAGTGGGCCAGAAGACCGACGCAGGTGGCCAAAAGTCTAGACGCGTTTTCAGCTCCAGAGTCGCTAAATGAGACTCGAACCGAACGTGTGACCCTACCAATGGATTCCTCGTTCGGAGAGCAATCCATTAGTGGGGTCACACGTTCGGTTCTTGTCCCATTTAGCGACTCTGGAGCACAAAACGCGTCTGGAGTTTTGGCCGCCTCCATGGTCATCTGGCCCACTGTGCCTTGGCGGGTGGCGGGGCCTCGGCGCGTGCGTGTTATCGCTTGCGGTGGAGCCTGTAGCAGTGTAGCAGCCTGTACCGTGCGTGTAATTAGCGATGCTGGCGGCCTGGGTCTGGCGGCGGGGAGACAGGGAGACGGCTGCCAAGCACTTTGTGTACCCACCGTATGGTATGGGCAACTTGGGCCCGCCGCGGCGCCGCCCTCTGGATGCCAGGCACAGCCAGGCACAGCCAGGCAGGCTCACAGGGCGAAGGCAAACAAAGTCGCGCGAGTGCTCGGTGCCGCACACTGATTCCGAGAGTCGTTTTCGTCGCTCTGTCTCTCTCGCACCGAAACGGGATGCCGCATGAGTGCGAGAGCGACGAAAGCGACTCTCGGAATCAGTCTGCTGGTGGCTGCTGGTGGCTGCTGGTGGCTGCGGGTGGCTGCGGGTGGCTGCTGGAGTGCTGCTCAGTGAAGGGAAGGGATGCTGGGGGGCGGGACGCGGGAATGGGCAGAAGGCAATAGTTGCCTTTTGCCGCAGTGCCCAGGCAGTGCCGCGCCAACTTTGGATTGGCGGAAACTCTTTCCGCGCGATGCCGTGGCGGCGCGGCGGTGCGGGTGGGCGGGCTTGGCCCTTGGCGCCCTTGGCTTGGCCGGGGTGCGGTCGGAGCGCCACAGGCCACTGGAGCGAGGCTTGAGGGGCATGATGCCGAATTTCGTTATACCAACTTGACCTGGGAAAAAGAGGGGAGGGGGGAAGGAGAGCCACTTCAAGAAACAATATCCCAAGTATTCCAGGAGAATGATTAATTAATAACGAAGTGGTTTTGTTTTCGTGTTGTTTTCTCTGGCAGGGCACCGCATGACGTGGCAGCACTACCACCGCGCCGCCGACATGGCGGGCTGGGTGGACTACCTCGCCAAGACTTACCCCGACACGTGCGAGGCCATGGTGATCGGCAACTCCCTGGAGGGGCGCCCCCTCAAGGTGTTGCACATCAAGGGCAAGGCCGGCAGCCCCGCCATGTGGATCGACGGAGGTGAGGGATTCGTCAAGGGCCTCGCCGAGGGCCTCGCAGGCCAGGCTGCTGGCGGCTTGCTCGCGGCACAGCGGTCGATACACGTCGCTTAGACGCCTGAACTGGCAAACATCCCTCTACTTCTAGTACCAAAAAATACAATTTCATCTCATTTCTTTTTCCCTGCAGGCATCCACGCGCGTGAGTGGATCACGTCGGCGTCCGTCTCGTACATGGTGAACGAGCTGTGCGAGAACCGCGACGCGTACAGCTCGTGGCTGGACAAGGTGGACCTGTACGTCCTGCCGCTGGCCAACCCCGACGGTTACGAGTACTCGCACCAGAGCGACCGCATGTGGCGCAAGAACAGGCGAAGGGGTGAGTGCGGACGCTGCCGGACGCGGCGACGCCTGGGCGACGCCATGCCCAGGGCCGCCCAGAGGCCAGTGCGGGCTGCGGGCGCTGCTGTGGACACTCTTTGAGCTCCGTATAGTCCTTATAATTTGACGAGTGAAACGCACGATAGTGTCGATGGATTGCCTTTCGAGCGAGGAATCTACCGACACTCTCATGGGTTGAAGTGAAGTCTCGTTTGAGGATAATGTAGCGCTCGAAGCGTGCCGAAGCGTGCCGAAGCGTGCCCTGCGTTGTGGCAGCCTGGAATGGCCCCCTGGCGGTGTGCGCGCAGGGCGGCGCTGGGTGACGATCCCAAAACGGCTGGCACTGACGCACTGACTGATGGCTGCGCACTGCGCACGTGTTGCTGCAGGCGGTGGCTGCGACGGCATCGACCTGAACCGCAACTTCGGCTACAAGTGGGGTGGCAAGGGCGCCAGCCCGCAGCCCTGCCAGGAGATCTTCCGCGGCTCGGCCGCCTTCTCGGAGCCCGAGACCAACGCCATCCAGAACTTCGTCCTGTCCAAGAAGGGCTCCCTCAAGTCGTACCTCAGCTTCCACAGCTACGGCCAGTACGTGCTGTACCCGTGGGGCTACGACCGCTTCGTGCCGCCAGACCACCAGGACCTGCAGCGCGTCGGCACCAAGATGGCCAACGCCATGCGCGCGACCAGCGGCCTGCCCTACACCGTGGGTTCCTCGGCGGCCCTGCTCTACCCCGCGTCAGGTACGGCCGACACGCCGACAGGCCCTACGGGGTTACGCCGCGCGCCCCGCGTCCTCCCCGGCGGCCGGCGCTACCCCGCGCGCGGAGCCAGCGCGCAAAGAGAGCAGGGCGAGTCTCTCGCGCGCGGGGTAGTGCCGCGCCGTTCGCTGCGGGTTAGCAGTGGCGGCGTCTTGGGTCTTGGGGCGGGATGAATGTGAAACGCCCCGCCAAAGGGGAAATGGAAAAGGAGAGAGGAGAAGGGGAAGGGGCTCGCGAAGGGGTAGCATCGCAGGGCGACGCGAGAAGCAGTAACTGGACGCGCGTCACCCGACCCGCCTGATAGAGAGAAGCCCGTTTGGCGTGGGTTCAAATCCCCGCCAGGCCGCCTCCCCGTTCCTCGTCCCATTCGTGAGCGTGAGACTTCCCTTTCACGTCTCGGATCGGGCCGGGTCGCGGTGTGATTGATATCTGCGCTCCTTTGACCGCGTCGGCAGAGACGCAGAGACGAGACGCAGAGACGAAACGCCCGGCACTGCTAGGCACTGCGTCGACGCCAAATCCACTTAGCTCCATTTTGCTTTTTGCCGGGCTTTGCTTTCGTCTTTGTCGGGACTTCGACTTCGCGACGGCCTTGCAGACCGATTCCGAGCACTGCTCTGTCTCTCTCGCACCCTGATGGGACGCCCCATGGGTGCGAGAGAGACAGACAGCTCGGAATCAGTGCGTGCTGCTGGAAGGGCTGCTACTTCGACAGGGGGCGGGGCGAGCGCCGCTGTTCGCAAGGCGATTGTTTCTCACGGCGGTAATTAATTTGGCATAACTGTGTTTGGGGGGGAGGAGGGCTGCGCGGCCCCCGCGGCTTTCCCTTCCGGGTCGCGGGGCGTCGCTGCGCTGCGTCGCCAGGCCGAGCGGCACCGCGACCCGCACCGCCCTCTTCCCCCTTCGACGCGCGCGCCGCGGGGCGCGGCGGCTCCGATAAGTGAGTTACGCACGAGGCTGCTCCGCCCCGCACCGCCCCGCCCCGCCCGGGCCGCGGCGCGCTCAAACTTCGGGGCGGCCGACAGACGGGCCGACAGACGGGCCGTCGCGGTGTCAAAAGCTACACGGGAAGGTGGCAGCGCGGCGCGGCGTTCCACGGCGGGCCACGTCCCTGACAAGGCGCCCGCAACTTTTACCCAAGTCCACTTTTTCAGCGGCGCCGTCGCAGCGGCCGCGTCGCCGGGCTTCGCTTCCCCCGCATACAAATAGGGCGGCGGGGCGGGCAGGTTAGGCGCTCGCGCGGCTCTCGCGGCTCGCAACGCAAACAGCGCCGTGCTCAACGACGTGCTCCTCTGTTTCCAGGCGGCTCGGACGACTGGGCCAAGGGCGTGGCCGGCATGAAGTACGCCTTCACCATCGAGCTCCGCGACACGGGGCGCCACGGCTTCGTCCTGCCCTCCAGCCACATCCTGAGCTCCGGCAAGGAGGTCATGGCCGCCGTGCGCACCCTGGCCCAGGAGGTGGCGCTGCTCTGAGCGAGTGGGCCTCGCCCAAGGCCTCGCCCAAGGCCTCGCCCAAGGCCTCGCCCAAGGCCTCGCCCAAGGCCTCGCCCAAGGCCTCGCCCAAGGCCTCGCCCAAGGCCTCGCCCAAGGCCTCGCCCAAGGCCTCGCCCAAGGCCTCGCCCAAGGCCTCGCCCAAGGCCTCGCCGCAGAACGCTGCCAGAACACGGCCCTTCCGCGGGGGTCTCCACGCCTCCATTCCTCCTCCTCCACCGCACCGGACGCCCGGTCCCTGGACGCACTGTCCCGGACGGTCCCGGACGGGGCGCACCTGCGGAGAATGGCGAATAGGAATCCCCGCCGAATGGACGTGTTCCTCGTCCAAGTCATCGTCGCTCACTCTGCTCGCCGCGGTTCCACGTTTAACCCGCTCGCTGGCCGGCTGCTCGCTCTGCTCGCCCTTCCGCGCGGGTGGAATGTCCGTATTGGTTTATCGCCCAATCAAAACATTCCTCGCGCCAGGGCGCCACGGGGGGCGTGGCCGGTGCGTGGCGCCGCCTCGCCTCGCCTCGCTGGCGTGGGGATTGCGGCATGGCCATGGCATGGCGCCGCGGACCGACGGACGGCACGATACCGAGCATCGGGTTACAGCTGGATTTCGTTTTAAAATGAATCTATTTTGTATGTTGTTCTGTGCTCGTTTGTACAAAAAAGTCTATAATTCTGTGGCACCGAGTTAAAGTTTGACTGAATTTCTCCTGTGAAAAACCCACCCATGACTGAATAAACGTAACTCTAAGGTTCGAGCGTTGTTTTGTGCTTGTGACGTACTTTATTTCTACCTCAAACCCATCCCGAATAAAAATGTTTTTCGTTTGCTTTCCCGTCTTGCGTCCCAATCATCCCGACCCAATCGCTCCGCGCTCCGCGAGGCGCTCCGCCACGGCGCGCCAGATTGTGGAGAGACCGAACGGCTTCCCGGAAAGAAATGCGGACTCCAATTTTCTCCTCTTTTGATTCCGGCCCGGTTCCCCGACGGTTCGCCCGACGACGAGGCCTTGACCTTAACTTTAGTGCGGACCCAAAACTTTGAGCAAATGTCTCCTTCAGTGCGTCTTTTTTATTGATGTCCTTTTTTTTTCTCCTTTTTCTGTCGCAGGAGACGCTCCGCCAGGTCGGAGACCAATCTGGAGCCAAAAAGGTAAGCGTATTTAAATAAATTGACTCCGCGGCTCGTCCTGCGTCTACTCTGGAAAGTCCTCGGACCAGCCACTAATGACTGCGACACGAAAAAGGACGACCAGGACGACCCGCCGCTCCGTCTCTCTCGCACCCGTGGGGTCGGCCCGTAAGGTGCGAGAGAGACCGCGCGCGGGCTAATGGATTACCGCTACCGGCGAAATGATTTGGCGTCCCGCTGTTGTACGCGCTGTACGCTGGGGGCTGCATGGCTATTTGTCACACGGCAACACAGCGGAGCCTCTGTGGCGCGTGTACATTACGATGGACCCTGCCTCGGACCTGTTTTTCAATTTAAAAATATGAATATATTGCAATTTATTTGCGTTTGCAAATGCTGTCAGTTTTTGCTGCATAGCTAGGGCCGCCTCACGCTATTGAAAGTGTTATTCCGAATCGTCCAACTGCAAAGGGTCCCTCTGTCGCGACAGGCGGCGGAGGCGCAGCGGCTGCGCGCCGAGGTTGCCGACGAGCTGCGGCCGGCCCTGGAGCAGGAGCTGGAGCAGGAGCTGCGGCCGCGGCTGGAGAGGGAGGTGCGGCTGCAGCTGGAGAAGGACGCGGCGCTGGAGAGGGAACGCGCGCAGGCCCGCGCCCAGGACCTGGAGCGGCAGGTCCGCGAGCTGGAGGGCATCGTGCGCAAGCGGCAGCTGCAGACGCAGTCCTCCAGCGACCTGCCCTGCTCCTCGCCGGCCAGGGAGCGCCAGCTGCAGCTGCAGGTGGAGCAGCTGCAGCGGGACCTGGACGTGCGGCGCGCCGCCGAGCGGCAGCTGCAGGAGCAGCTGCAGGCCGCGGAGCAGCGCCGCGACGAGGAGCTGCAGGGCCTGCAGCGCCAGCTGCAGGAACGCAGGGCGGCCGAGCGGCAGCTGCAGGAACAGCTGCAGGCCGCGGAGGAGCAGCTGCAGGAGCGGCACTCGGGAGCCGCCAAGGTGCAGGCCCACCTGCAGACGGTCAAGGTGAGTGCGGAGCGGTGCGGAGCGGTGCGGAGCGTGCCTCGAGGGACGCCACCCTTTTGCGGCCCCCTCCCGCCGCCTCCCACGCGCTGCTGACTGTTGCCCGTCTCTTTTCCAGGCCAAGTACGAGGACCTGGTGTCCAGCCTGGAGCAGCAGCTGGCCGCCGCGAGGCAGGAGGTGGCGGACCTCAAGGACAAGGCCCTGACCACGGTGGCCAGCTCGGCGAGCAGCGAGGCCGGGGACCCGGTGTACGAGGCGGACGAACCCCAAGCCCGGCGCGACAAGGCCGACAAGGACAAGGGCGCGCCCGGCATGGCCCCCAAACGGCGGCCTCGGCGCAGCCAGTCCGTCGGGGAGCCGTCGCCCTGCCCCACGCCCTCCAGCGGCCACCCGCCGGCCTCCACCTCGGCCTCCACCGAGATCCTGGTGATGCCGCACCAGCAGAACCGGCCCGCCGCGCCGCAGCGGCCAGACACGCACCTGCTGGCCACCATCCGCGGCCTGCAGCACGAGCTGCAGACCAAGTGAGTCGGCCGCGCACGAAGCACAAAATTTTATGAAATTATGTAAATGGAATACAGTTCGGGGAGTTTCCTCACGGCAAATTTCCATGGGAATGCGAACGATGTTTCATTGTCCCGCTCGGGGAGGGCGCCGGGGCCCCGGGCATCCTGTCGGCGGTGTAGGCCGTGGGCCACGCCATGGCCAGGCCGCGGAGGGAATTGCCCGCGGCTTGCTGCGAACACGCCCGCCAAAAGTTGAAGGTCACGCGCGTCAGCGCGTCAGCGCGGGTGGCAAGCCGTTTTAGTCGGCCGGTGACTTCTGTCTTGTCTCTGTCTGACTCATTGGCCTGTCCGGCCTGTTGCAGGGAGAAGGAGGCGGCCAAGCTCAACAGGGAGTTGTCGGACGCGCGCGCCACCAACCGGCGCCTGCAGCAGGAGCGGCAGCGCCTTCTCAACGAGCAGTCGCCGCTCCGGCCCGTCAAGGCAGCCGCCAGCACCGCCGCCGCCGCCGTGGACGCCGACATGTTGGCGGAGAACCGCGGGCTGCGTCGCGACGTGCAGCGCCTGCAGGAGGACCTCCTCAGCCTGCACACCAAGCGCGTCAACGACGTGAGTCCGGCCTCGTTAAAACCTCCCCCTCCCCCTGCCGTCCCTGCCGTCCCCATCCCCTCCGCGCGACGTCGTCACGTCGTTATCCCCCGACCCGGCCGGACTGGCGGCGAACATCGCGGCGCCACCATGCCCACCACGCCCCGCGCTTGGCGCTCGGCTCGACGAGCTGACGAGTGCACACTCCGCGCGATGCCGATTCCAAGGCCGCCGCCTCATCGCTCGGCCCAGCCAGGCCGCTCTCCGCGCCATTTTCATTTTCGTTTTCCCGTTTCGCTTCGCTCTCCTCTCTTTTCAATCCGGCGCGCTTTCCGCGTCTTCGCCTTCCTGCGGGCTGTTGTGTTGCGCAGCGCGCGGCGCGCAGCAGGAATTGCAAATAACGAGAAAGCAGTGTAGGGCATCGCGGAGGCGGGGCCGTGCGGGGGCCTCGGAGCGAGGCGCGGCGAGGCGAGGCAATGCGAGGCAGGCCTGGACGGCGGGATGGAGGATGAGGAATGTTGTGGCGCTGTGACGTTCGGGCCTCGTCCGGGGGGTAGATGTCGAGGTGCCTACCGCCGCCACGGCCCGAAAGGCGAGACGGGACCTGGCCGAGGGCCGTCGTGAGAGAGTGCCTGCCCAATAAAGGTCGTTATTTAACGGCAAGGTGTGTCGCCTCGCCCCGGCGGTGTGACGGCGTGGCGGCACTCTGGCGTCGCCGGCGGGGAGCCTAGAAGAAGCTCGAGCGACTCGGCGCGGCGTCGCGTATCGGGCTGCCGCGGCGGGGGCATGAATACGCTATGAGACTAACACTCGACTGTTTGCAGCTGACGCGGCTCCAGGCCAAGCACGAGCAGGAGCTGGAGAGCGTGGTCTGCGAGCGCGTCAACGAGCGCCTCTCCGACCGCAGCTGCGAGGGCCGCGTGGCGGAGCTGCAGGGCCAGCTGTACACGCAGCAGCTCGTCATCGCCCACCTCAAGGAGCAGCTCAAGCAGTGAGTCACTGTCTGTCTCTCTCGTACCTATGCGGGACGCCCCATGAGTGCGAAAGAGGCAGAGCGACGAAAACGACTCTCGGAATCAGTCCGCTGTAAAAACGTCAGCGCGACGTCAGCGTGACCAACCCGCCGCCCGTCACGTGATTCCTGGAGGCCGCGCTGTGGCGGGTGCTGCGGACGCTGCGGCGGTGGGCCCTCGCTAAGATCCGAAACCGCATCTCTGGACAGGGGCTTGTGCGCCGCTCTGCGCCGCTCTGCGCGGCTGCCCTTGACAAGCCCCCTCCCTCGACCGCAATGCCCCGCATGAGCGCCTGCGGTACGGGCCGTAGGCCACCGGAGCGGCCGCACGCACGGGCGTGCCCACGTTGCCTACCCCGCCGGGCGGCCGCTGCGCGCTGCGGGCGGGCAAGCCAGGGCAAGCCACGGCAAGCAGGGAGGCCGAGCCGACCCTGGTGGATCGTTCGGACCGAGTCACGCCCTGCCTTCCCCCTGGTTGCCTTTGGCTGCCTTTGGCCTGGCATGTTTGGCCCGGCACAACCGCCACCGCGCCACGGCTGTAGTTGAAGTGCCTGGCGGTTTTGTCTTGCAGCTCGGAGCACGGCGGCGAGGAGTTGGCGCTGCTGAAACGGGAGCGGGACCAACTCGAGAAGAGCGTCTCCAGCCTCAACAAGCAGGTGTCGCGACTCAAGGAGGACGCCTCCCCGGTGAGTGGCGCGGCGAGCGCGGCTAGCCTGTAGTCTCGGGTTCGAGTACCAGCACCCGCCGCGCTTTTCTCTTTTTCTTTTTTCTGACCTAGCGATTTTCCTCGCGGCGACTGACTGTTGAATGGACTATGTTTGGCTTTGCCTCCGCCAGGACGCCCGGCGCGTGGCCGCTCTGCAGGACCAGGTGGACGAACTGGAGGCGCGGCACGAGAGCCGCGAGCGCAAGCTGCAGGCCATCGTGCGCGACCTGCTGCAGCAGCGCCAGGGCCTCGACGGCCAGGGCCAGGGCCAGGGCCAGGGCCAGGGCCAGGGCCAGCACGGCGCCGAGGACGAGGCCTGCTGCTCCGCGTCGGTGCGCCTGCTGCCCCTCGTAAAAAACTTTTATTAACATTTAATAAATTTTGATAAATTCTTAATTAATTTTTTATTAGGGGCTGTGTTTTAATTAATTTTATCACGGGTGCTTATTGACTTTAATTAATTTTAACAAGTACCGTTTATAAAAGGTTTTAAATGTTGATTAAAACTTGTTAACAAAGAGGGTTTAATAAACATTTATTAGCTTTTATTATCATTTTTAATAAAGACTTTATGTAGTTAATGTTAAGTGTGATTTCCAAAGGTTTCTTTGAAAAGTCCGGTGACAAACAAGAGTGTCGAGTCATATTCATCGTTAAATCCTCTCTCGAGTAAGTAGGTGTTGCCATATGTTAAGGAACTTGGTGTTATCCCCGGCAAGATTTAATTAAGTTTAATAAAAGTCTGTCCGCCGCTAGATGGCGCTGAGGTCTACTTTAGTCCCTTAGCTCGCGGTGTTGACTCACATCGCCACATGCACTAGTCGCGCAGGCTATTCACTCTCCTCCATCGCGCTCAAGGAAGTGTGATGTTATTTTTAGACTTGCCTCTGACACACAAGTGTTGGAGAATTGGGCGGCCATGGAGAATGCCGTCTCACACTCAAATAACAGATCTCAACACTGATTATCTTACTGGTATGCAACATTTTCAGTAACGTGGGTAGGGATTTAATTAAATCATATGTGTTTTAATTAAACTACAGCTTAATTAAGCTCTAATTAGCGCTTATAAATTTAATTAAATATAATTAAAAACTTATTATTTACATATTAAAAATAATTAAATTTCATTTCAGCCTGACCTATTAATTAGTCTATTCGTGTTCATAGATAGCTCTATTCTTGGCCACTAACAAGATTTAATTAGCATTTAACAAAATTTAATTAAAGTCAACTCTAATAAAAAATTAATTAATTACAAATTAATTATTTATTAAATTTAATATGCGCCTTTTTGCCAGGGGCACAAGAACAGGGACCTGTGCTTCTACCGCGCGCAGATGGACCGCCTGCTGGACGCGCTGCGCGACCTGGAGCGCTCCAGGAGGGGCTCTTCGTCGTGAAGCCGACGCCCCGCTTTCGTTCCACGACGAGAAAACAAGCCAAACGACGACAGCTTTATTACGCGATCTGAACCGATGTCTATCTTATTTTTGTGCTTTCTGTGTCTTTCATTAGGGGAGAGAATATTAAAAGGATCTCAAACAGAAAACCGTGTTCTTAAGTATTGTGGGGAGGAGAGATTTTCTGAAAGCAGAAATACTCGAGATGCTGACCGTGGATCGGCGTGGAAGCGGCTCAGTCGCACTGTGAGATGATCTAGTTCTGTCACAAAGGACTCAAAGAGGCCCGGCCTCGGGGGGCGGGCTTAAATTAGACTCGACGCTTCTGCTTCCTCGGCCGCAGTGACCAGCGAGCCGACCGAAGCTGTATCAAGGTAAGGCAAGGGCACCAGGGGCACTCAATTCGGGCCGATCCGACCGAGAAAACAACAACAACAAAAGTCGGACGGAGCAACAGGATCACAGCTTGTCGGTCCATCCCATCCGCGGCAGCGAGGCTTGCGAGACTTGTCGCAGCTTAGCGACCATCGACCCATTTGGTTGGCGAAAAGTGGGGAAGAGGGGAGGGGGTGGGGCGGGGCCCATGGTCGGGGCGATGCGGCGAGACTACAACAAGTTGCCTCTGCTCGGCGTCTGGCTCGGCGTGGTGCTCGTTGCGGCCCGTTTCGGCCGAGATGCTTTAATGAAGTACACGGCAGAGGTCGCATCATCAACAACAACAACACGCGGCGCCGAATAAATGGATCCGACCACTAATTGGTTCGCAGCGGCCGTGCCGCATGACCACACTGAAATGAATTAGAGAGTTAATTGTTTGTTTTAAAAAGTAAATGCATCATCTGCGTGAAAAGCCATTACAACTTCTGGCAATGAAAGAAAGGTCCAGAAGTCAACTGTCCAACTTTCAAACATCTTTTCGGCCATGATCGGCCTCGCCTGGAAAATAGAAACAGGTCGTCCGTTGCGAAGAGGCGGCCCGCGTCGCGACGGCACGTGGAGGCGGACGCGCCGCCAAGCTGTCCGCGCCCCGCCCCGCCCCGCCCCGCCCCGCCCCGCCCCGCCCCGCCCCGCCCCGCCCCGCCCCGCCCCGCCCCGCCCCGCCGTCTCGATGGAGTGGTGCAGCGTGGCGGGACGGCGGCGAGTGGCGGGCGGCGCGTGGCAGAGCAGGCAGAGGGTGGCCCTCCCTCCCGGGACTCGAGGCCCCCAGGCCCCCCACTCCGAGAAGTAGGCCACGTCCAGGCCAGACGCGCGTGTTCGCGCTCCACGCTCCGCTCTGGCCGCGCGTGTGGCGCCGTGTGGCGGCAGCGCGCGGAGAAGAGAGGGCGGAGCGCGGAGCAGGTCAACAAACACAGCATCCTCATATACTCCATCGGGAAAGAAAACAAGCGCGCCTTTTCGTTCTCGCTCCGGTTGTTCCATTGCCGGCGGACCCGGGCGGGGCGGTTCATTGCGCGCACCCGAAACGCCCGCACTCACAGACACACGCCAACACACGCACACACACAGACAGGCAGGCGGGCGGCCGGCTGTCTGCAGCTTAGCCGCGCTGCTCGCTCCGTCTGGTCTTCTCTTCCCAGCAGATAACGCGCGTGACGGCCCCAGAGACGTTGCAGCGCAGCTGCGTCCATCTGTCGCTCCCTTGGCCTCCTCGAGCCGCCCGCCTTGCGCCCGCCTTGCGCCCGCCCTCCCCAGCGTGACCGTGGAAGTACGGCGCGCACCTGTAGCCCACCCCGCCCCGCCCCGCCCCGCCCCGCCCCGCCCTGAGCCTACGGCGGCCTGGCTGACTCCCTCCCCCGCGCCGTGGCGGCGGCCTAGGCCTGGGATAACCCTCTCGCAGGACACGCTGTGGGCCACGCTGTGGGCCACGCTGTGGGGGAAGCAGGTCAAGGTTCCCTCCAGCCACGCACCACGCGGCGCCACGCGGAGCCACCACGCCGCCACCCCGCCAGCCCCCTGGACCACCCCCGACCTAGCGTGCCACCCCCCGGCCACCCTAGGCAGGCGGGCGGACAGACAGGCAGGGAGGCAGGCAGGCGGACAGGCAGGCAGGCAGCGGAGACTGGCAGGCAGGCAGGCGGGCAGGCGAACAGACAGGCGGACAGGCAGGCAGGCAGGCAGGCGGCCCGAGAGTGAAAGGGCTGCGAAGCCTGACGGGCCTGGCGGGTAATCACGGCGAGCACGTGTGCCGAGGTAGCGCTGCCATTGCAGTGCCATGCAGTGCCATTGCCGCCAACGAGCCACCGCCACAATGGGCGCGCTGCAGTCACGCAGTCGCACGCAGTCACTCCGGCGCTTCGCTCGGCTCCATGCTCGCAGTTTGAAAACTCGCGCTGGCGGCGCGAAACCACTCGCAGGCCTGCACCGTGGCTGCACCGTAAGCCCCGTCCAGCGGAACGGCGAGTCTGCAGTTTACACCCCTCCGCTCTTTGCAATGCAGGCCAACCAGCCAAGAAAAAGTATCCGCAGAAACCCCTGTCGATTCGCACCGCACTGAAAGCGTGCGGAAAAGAGCAAATAAATGGCGAGACTCGAACCACCAATCTCTTTGTTACGTGTCAACGCCTCTACGGTCTCGCCTGCTAATGTCCACGGCGTGGTGCTCGTCAAGCGGGGTACTTGAAGACAGTTGTTCCGAATCACGGAGGGTACGTCACTGCCAAGGTACGAAGCTCGTTGCACTGCGAGCCAGCATAACAGGGCTGATATAATCTTGGCAGTGACGTACCCCCCGTGATGCGTAACAGATGCCTTCGACGAGCCGCTGTCCGGGCGTGTTGCCTGCCCTGAACGGCGGCTACACACGGCCTACTTTGCTGTTGTTCATGTTCCTCCAGTTTCAAAGCCTGCTTCGGCAAATGGATTGAAGGAATGAGCAAAGCCACATGCTTAGTCGTCTGCCTCATGATCTCACCTTTCCAAAAATGTATGGGTCGATACATTTGGAACTATTTTCTGAGCCAGCATTGTTGTAAGGGTTGGGGCCGTTGCTCGGCTGTGTTGCTCGGTGGGACATTTGCACGGACTTCCTCGTGATTTGCTCGTGACTTGCTCGTGACTTGCTCGTGACTTGCTCGTGACTTGCTCGTGACTTGCTCGTGACTTGCTCGTGACTTGCTCGTGACTTGCTCGTGACTTGCTCGGGTCTTGCGCGGTGCTTGCTTGGGTTTGCTGGGATGTCCATCGACCTTCGACCAGATTTGCGCGAGCCCCAAATGTGTCACGGGAAGGACAAGACATGGCGAACGGCGTGGGAGCGAGAGAGGAGAAGCGACCCAGCCGCCCGTTCTCCGGCTTGTGGGTCGGGAGAGCGAGAGAAACAGAGCGACCCGGAGATCGCTGTCGCTTTCGCTCCTCAAACACGAGGCCTTTTGCAAAGCCCCTGGAGAAGAATACGGCCTCCTAGCAATCCATCTGCAGGGCCTCCCCGGATAGATGTGGGGCGGAGCAGGAGAAGAAGACGGAGGGGAAGGAGAAGAGGGGGAGGGAGGAAGAGGAGAGGAGGTGGCGGAGGACAGAATCAGGCTCGTACATAAATAATGCTGCCCCTCCCCCGCCGCGCCAAGGCATAGCCAAGGTATAGCTGCACCTGGGGACGCGACCAAGGACACGGTCTCTCCCTTCCGCTGAGGCGCGCTGCCTCTCGGACGCAAGCTCCTCGCCACGCCACTACTTAGTCAAGCACCGCCCACGGTTAGTGTTACCGCTCTACGGCGGACGCCGAGGGACAGCGGGGGACACTGTGGCGAGCTCGTTACATTGTACACGGAGACGGGGTGCACGGGGTGCTGCGCCACGGCCTCGGCGCCTCGGCCGTGCCGCTAATCGGCTCACCGCACCGCGGCGCTCGCGGGAAGCGTTTCCAACGCCAAATATTTCGCTGCGATAAGCATTGTACTCTTGCCCGCCCGACAGCCTCCCCCCACCCCTTCTCTCTCTCCTCTCTCTCTCTCTCTCTCTCTCTCTCTCTCTCTCTCTCTCTCTCTCTCTCTCGTGCACGCGCCTCCCCCAAGGGGCGACCTGCCCGCCGGGTGCGGGTCAGGAGCCCCCTCCCTCCCTCTTCTTTCCAATTCCGGAGACGGCAAGCAAGTTATTATTTCAATAGAACCCCGGCAGGGCCAGCAGGACCCCGAAGCCCTTGCCCCGTTCAGGACCGTTACTCTGCCCTGATGGCTCGGCTCCGAGAAAGGGAGGGGCGGCGGGGCGGCGCGGCGCGCTCATCGTTCGCTCGCAGCGAGCAGTGATAGGTCTGAGTGCACACCGCGCCGAAACTGTCCCACAATCGGTGCACAGTGGGCTAGAAGAGCGGCGCTAACCAGGACTCGAACCGAGCGTGTGACCCCACCAATGGACTCCTCGTTCGGAGAGCAAGCCGTTGGTGGGGTCACACGGGTCACACGTGCGGCGCGAGTCCTAGCGACTCTGGAGCGACTCCGGGATTTTGACCGCCGCGCCTCCTGCCAGTCTTCTGGCCCACTATGCGGTGGCAGAAGAGTGCTTGTTTGCCGAGTTTTGCCCAGCGGGTAAAATTGTCATCGTTGCGGCGGAGTCAAAAATGAGTGTATACCCACCCCGGTAAAAAAAATGTCGGTGATATATTGCTTTTTCAGGCCGCCCTAACGCTCTAACTGGCGTCTAAAGTGGCCACCTGCTGCCAGGGGTGCCAGGGGTCGAGAATTCCATTCCGACGTCGGCAGTTCGCGGTGGCGCCCCCTGGGCGTGGCGTGGCATGGCGCGGCGTGGTGCGGCGCAGCGTGGCGTGGCGGAGCCTAGCCGAGCGCCTCCGGGTCGCTCACTTCAAATTTATGTGCTGGGCGGTGCTGCATGTATATATAGAGAGCTCGCCGCCAAACACTCGGCATCCCCCAGCCGCCTACCAACCCCCCCCCCCCTCCCCCTTCCCCCGGCCGCCCACCAACTCCCCCCCCCCCTCCCTCTCCCTTCCCCCGGCACGGCACAGCGGCCGCCCAACGCGCGCACTACGCGCAACAGCCCCCAAAACTTGTCCTCGGCCGTTTCTAGAAGAGCAACGGAATAATTGTTGCGCTGTTCAGTTTGGCGGTGGTGGCGAAACTCGAAGTCAGCGCGGCGAAGAGTGGGTCCCAGTCCCAGAGCCAGGTACTGGGAACCGA